TGAAATCGCACTTTTGTGGGTGCGGTTTTGTCGGCGCGTTGTTGTGGGCACGTTCATGACGTCGCTGTTTTCTCACCGTGGTTTCGTCGGCGCATTTTTGTCGTCCGCGCATTTGTCGGGTCACGGCAGTAGTAATGAAAAACTAACTTCGTGATCAATCCTCATATTTATTACTTTTGCAGATCTATAAAGCTAAGGAAAGCTGAAACAAGATCGTAAGCACAGTCATGGTTTTACTTAGTGACCGCCTCATTAATTGACTGTCCCAAATGTGGTTGCTAAATAAGGACTACCTGTAATGGAAAAATATATACATTTTCTTTAAAAATGTCAAACGGATTTATGTTCTGAATGCTCCTCTATAAATAGAGACATTAGATGTGACTATAGTCCCTGGCATCCCAATAATCATTACTTTTAATTAGACTGACTTTTAGTGAGTTTTTCAGCTGGGTTTTTTAGATTTCACTCTATCTGTATATTAGCTGTTTTATATGTTTTATCAGATGTTTCCTATGCTCTGGGGGCAATTATCAACCTAAAATGAGATCATATATTCATCAGTTCAACAGCATGATTGCCCAGAAGCCAAGTGCCTTTATTTCTTAAAACGTTTTCAAATGACAGCCTTTTGAAATGCAACTGCATATAAAAAAATCAACACGTAACCTTTAATTGAATTAAAGCTAATAGAGTAGTTATTTGGCTGAAATGTTGAAGTCAGAGGATATTTTAACAAAAGGCTAGAGTGCCATCTTCTGGCAGATTTCATAATTATGTTCATCGTGCAAAGATTTCGCATCTAATACTAGTTGGATTGCTATCTGTGACTCTTTTCTGGGTATCCACATTTTCTATTCCTTAGTAGCTGATTCAATAGAAAGATCAGCTGCCAAAGTGTGTAGTAACTTACAATTGCTTACATAATTTAGTCCTCAATGATATTCTAATTATCAACGGAATAATATCTTCCGCTGTATGCATTGGCACATTGCATCATAGTTATCTGCACTACATATTTTGTGTCAGGTCAAATTACATTTCATAAATGAGAAAAAATGAGACAAAATACTCTCTGTTCTGATCTTTTGGGATTTCTAAAAATATTGCATCATTGTTTGTTTTGCCCAAGGGCATTGAGCTACTCTGCATGTAGCAATAGCAATAGCAGTTAGACTTATATACCACTTCATAGGGCTTTCAGCCCTCTCTAAGCGGTTTTACAGAGCCAGCATATCGCCCCCACAGTCTGGGTCCTCATTTCACCCACCTCGGAAGGATGGAAGGCTGAGTCAACCTTGAGCCGGTGAGATTAGAACCGCTGAACTGCAGATAACAGTCAGCTGAAGTGGCCTGCAGTACTGCACCCTAACCACTGCGCCACCTCGGCTCTTAGTCACCCAGTGACTAACAGCATGCGTTAGTCACCGGGTGTCCTTCTTTTCTCTCTGTCCCAGAAA